ACAGTCCATTTTTGGATCAGATTGATCGTCAGAATGCCAAGAAATGGCAGCAAATTGGTTTCGAATAAGAAAATGAGGAGATGAAGATAGAGGATGAAAAATACGAAACATTTATAGGGGGTGAAGATGAAGAGACAGAATATGAACAGCCACATTTATGTCTAATAGACGGAATTAAATGGCCCTAAGTCTTGGGAACAGTAGTGGGAATATCAGAAGGGAATGGACAAAATTCTTAATGCAAAGCAGTTAAATGCTTAAAGAATTGATGATTAGAAAATAAACATCAAATAAATGCACAAGAAATTAATGTCCATTAATAAGGAACAAAATTACAAAAGAGAAAAGACATCGTGTGTCTTAATTACATTCCACCCCATAAGGAACGAATTCGTTCCCTAAGTTTTTCCCAATCCTCGTTCTGTCGGGAGGTAGTGATGTTCAATTCAGCCGCAACGTCATCATCATCAACCTCCAGCTTCTTGTACTGTTCGACCAAGGATTTAGTTCGCTCAATTCCCTGAGAGGCGTTGCGTTTTTTAGCGGCCATCCTCGCCCTGCAATCGTCCATTTTGGCTTGAAGTTCCCTCATCTGAGCAGCCAAATTAACCATCAAGGAGTCTTCAATCATGACTTCGGAAAAGATTTCTTTCAACTCGTCTTTAGCCTTGTTGATCTCCAAGTGCAAAGACTCTTTCTCAGCTACGGCTCGAAGATATTGAGCACGCTTGGCCTTTAGTTCAACGTTCTTGGCCAGCATAGTAAGGACCTCGGAGTGAATGACCTTCAACGTTGCTTTAAAGTCGGCAAAAAGATTGAGCGACGGAAGCGTCAGTGCTTGCTCTAACTTCGTACTCAAGCACTCAAGTTCATCCTTGTGTCTGGCAGCACTAGCCCTTCCAATGTCCATGTCCATGAAGGACACGTACTCAAATACCAACTCCTTCAAGAACTTCAAGTCCTCTTCTGAAGAAGCAGCAGGACGATCAGATGGAGCAGGGTGAGGCATTTGGACCTGCCCCCAGGAAGCGAACAAATCCTGGATAGAACGCACAATCCTGTCAGCATCCTGCAAAGAAGATTGCCAACATTAAAAATATTCGCTACAACGAACAAGTTGGAAATAGGAATGGAACAAAGAGAAAAACTACCTCGTCGACAATCGTAGAAGATGGCGCGCCCTCAGCCAAGCTGGCCACCAACGACTCATCCATTCGTGAGGACCTCCCCTTGTCCGAGCGAGAAGATGTTGCCACAACGGGCGGACTCATAGGAGTATCTGCAAAGTTCAAAGAGCAACCAGTCATAAACCAATAGCACGAGCAAAGGTAAGACATCAAAAACTGAATTACCTTCTGCTTCAATGATTGGGGGGTCGACGCCCTGGGAGGAAGGTGGCTCATTCATGGGTTGTGATGAAGAATCTGGGACTGAAGATGTATCTTTAAGCATGGTCCCATCATCAACCGATTTGGATGAAGTAGCCTCAGCAGAGGATGATGGAGCAGGAGTTGATAATGCCAAAGCCTTTGAAGGGGAAGCTGAGCTTTTCTGAAAAGTCCAAAAGATCATCAGTACACAGAAAAATTTCAAATGGGAAAGAGCATACTTGTAAATAGACCAATTTAATTACCTTCCTCTTAACGATAAGAGGGACATCATCATCATCATCATCAACATCACCCTCCAGAATGGGAGATGCTGAGGCTGGCCGTTTGCGGCTTGGAGTACTCTTGGCCATAGTTGGCCTGGCAGGGAGAGAAGAAGATGGACGAGCAGATTGTTTACTACGACGAGAAGGAGAGGGGTTCCGAATAGACAAAGGAGTGACCAAAACAGGAGGAGGAGAAGAAATACTCGGTTGGTCTAATGAATGAAAGGCACGATTGGCCTCAGTCGCAAATAATCTGCGCTTCACCGATGGCCAAAGTTGTTCGAAAAGAGGGTGAGTAGCATGACAAGGATTAAAAGGGGCTAATGAAAAATGGCTTGATAAATGGAGGTTGTGAGCGTTTATAGCCTTTGCTTCCACCTTATTAATGGTATGAAAACGGTCGTTTAAGTTCTTCGAATAGCAAAGAGGAACAGGCCAAATTTGGTCGAAACCAAGCTGCCGAGCAAAAAATTGGGGAGCATAAATTTCTACCCCTGCTTTGGCATTGGTCCTAGTTAAGATATCATGGAAAAGCTCCCTCCCAGTTAAGAACTGGATCCAAATGAGTAGGGAGGTGCTCGCGCTATCTATAGTGGAAGGAGGATGTACATAGCCCGGAGTCAAAAAAGGAGGAAAAGGAAAGAAGGAAGAGATTGAATCTAAAGAATAAAAGAATGAAAAAATGTCCCTTTTGGACATACTTACAGGAGTTAAAGGCTCCATAGCTAGCCCGTAATAGCTAGCAGAAGGACGAGAAATGGATGGAGCACCAAGCGATGGAAAATAGGATCTCAACCACAGTTGAGTGAACCAAAGAGGTCCACTACCAGTAGGAGATGCACCATTCTTCAATTGAGCCTGAAGAAAAGCCATACCTCTATAAAGGGCAGCCAAAAACAAAGAACATAAATTCAAAGGGCTGCCACGCGCCAGTTCGTGCGCTATAGGTAAATAACTTAGAGAGGGCTTTATACTAGGCACACACAACACATATTTACAAAGCCAAACTAAAAGGAAGGCCACTCGCTCAGCATGGGTAGGCTCAGCACTCGAATGATTGTGGAGTGTCTGCAGGCTTGAATAAGAATCGGTATAGTTTTTACCGAACTGCGGGGCGCCACCAGAAACTAAGATGCCTGGGAAAATGGTATCGCCTAAAGGTGGTAAATTCACCAGGGCCCCAACATCCCTTAACGTAATAGACATGGGGCCAAGAGGAAAAATAAAGGTGTTATACTCAGAGGACCAAAAGCTCAAAGCAATCGGAAAGAGCGCTGAATCAAAAGTAGGGGGGCGAATAGAGACTTCCAATAAATCAGAAATCCTAGCGCTATCAAAAAGTGCCTTAGTAGGACTATGACCCACAAGACGAGCATGCCACCTACGAAAAGCTACGTCAGATTTGGGCCAAGTGCGAATACCTCTTTCACGAAGTGGCCCCAGCGGCAGAGAGTTCAGAAAAGGAGGGCCATGAGTGCAAGGAAACAGCTGACCCACCGCCGCCTGTTCAACTGCCTCCGCATTGTTGAAGAAAGGACCCAAGTAAAACTCATTACGTCCAACATCGGCGGGCGCGAGAAAACTTGGGGTTACGTATGGACGACTCAGAAGTTTCTGAAAGTCATCAAAACTAAAGGAGTCGCTAGGTTGAGATTGTGAAGCAGCCATTGAAGAAGGAACGAAGCTTTTCAGAGTTACGTAACAAGGAAGCAAAAAATGAGCAGTGAATCGTGAAGGATGCGCAAGAAATATGAGACATGGTTTGGTAGCAGTGAAATGGCGTGTTTGGAGTTTATAAGGGTTTGCAAAGCGACGCACCTTTTCAAGTTATAGAGGGAAACAATGATTGAAATTCTTTGGGAATCGCGAACGTTGCTGGAAACGTGAAGTGAATATGGCAAAATTCAATAATTATTATTAATTCTACCATATTGGGGGGTAATTGTTGACACATAAAAATTCAGCTCAAATCGAACAGCCCAGAGAGTAAAGCCCAATTGGAGGATCCCCAAACCAGATAGCCCAAAGAACGAAATCCAATTGAACGAATCAAGGTGAAGGCCCAAATAAGGGGCCCAAGAGTACGGTAACGCCATCGCCCAATTTTGCACGTTCTCAGAATCTGAGCGAATGGAGTGGCATACGGTCGCCCAGAGCTATTACTCTATTCTCGCCCAAATCTTCAAGTCGCCCAAGGTATCAACAAACATAACGCATTATGATTATCAAGAAATGCAGTTATTGAGGCAGTTGCTAAAGTAACCTTATCACGTTTCACGACTCAAGGGATTCAATCGAAAGCAGTTGAACGATGCAAGATAATGACAGCAGTTAAAAGGACAGTTTCATGACAAAATGGCCACTACAAAGAAAGTGGGTAGTTGTAGGGCGATCAAGCAGTTTTTTAGAGCAGTTAATCACAAAGGGATCGCCTATGAAGTATAAAAGGGAGAAAGGACATAAAAGCAAAGGACCAAATCCAAAACTCTCGAACAGAGAATATGTAATTTTCATTTCTTTAGTTTTTAGACTTAAACACTTTCTTTTCTGTAACTCGTGTGCTTGCGCCCCTTGGAGGCACGTTGTTTTTCGTTTCCAATTGTAAAGTTCATCGCCAATAAAAAGAACACCCCTTTTTGGGACTTTGTCTCAAGAGGTTTCGTCCCTTACACAATCGTCTGATCCTTTTTAATTGTTAGTGAATTAACACGCGCGAAACAGTAACATTGTCATTTGATTTCAGTTGTTTTCTTCTAGTGTTAGTGTTTTATTTCGGTTCCATGAATTCTGATTTAGGGATTCTTCATTCCGATTTAGGGATTCTTCATTCCTATAATGTTTTCTGATTTAGGGCTTTTTGATTTAGGGATGTAGGGCTTTTTAATTAATATAAATCACAGAAACTCTGAGCTTTTATATTCTTGAATTCTTACTTGTTTCTTGAAACTCATGTATTTTGTTCTTCAATTTGCTCCTTCTTCTAACGGCAAAATTTTCTTCTCATTTTCAAATTTCTGCTTTTTCCCCTCAATTTTCTGTTCTTAATCAGAAAATGGAAACCGTTTTTCTTTGTTTTGTGTTAGATTGTAAGAATATTGTCTTTGTATTATTTAGATTGAAAGTACAATTTCCTATGCACAATGTATAATTTGACATTGTACCACTTTTGATATTCTGCAAGAGAAACATGGACCAGAAGTTTGATAATCAAACTTTGATAATTTACTCTTCCAATACCATGCGTTCTCCAATGGTGTTAACGACCAAGTTTGTGACATATATTCAATGTTCACGTGCTTTAGTTTTGTTGTTTTACAAGTTATAAATCAAACACTTGTCATGTTCAGTCTTCACTAGCTTCTAAGCACCTTAATTAAACCATTGTTCTACTTGTTTTTGGACCAAAGAAAGAGAAGGCAGAAAGACATCTATGCAAAGTGTCTTCGTCTGGCATGTGCCGATAGAAATGTCTTCTTTTCCATTGTGTCTCCTTGTTCAGGCATTTTTTCATTATAATAATTTTTTAGGGATTGTTGGGGGGGATTAATTATTGTTGCATCAAACTAGTATTGTTTGGGTAATATTTATTGGTTACCTAATACTATTAATTTTTTTCTGGTTCATGATAAAGTAAAATCAGGGCTAAGTTTGCTTTAGGTGCCATTTTAGTTTTTAGGCATTATAGTATTGTCGAAATTCTAGAAACGAAAAAATAAGAAACTTTTGAATGACATGGTTGGACTCCTTTTTCTTATCGTTTGTAACTTTCTACATGGGACGATAGAGACTACAAGATGGAATTTGTTAAAGTTGGTTGTTTGTTTTCAAAACAGTTTTTGTCCACAGCATAGATGCACAATGCATGTTAGAAGAGTAAGAAAAAAGGTAAAAATAGCCATTGGAATTTGATATAGTACATCAAAGGTGGCCAAGTAATTGGAGTAGTTGTGAAATTTGGTCAATCATTTATTATATTCATGTTCTCTCAGTTTGCTTTAGTGTAAGTTCCCTTTATACTTTTAGTGCCTCCTTTTAGTCCTTGTTTTTCGTGGTCTTCTCGATCTGGGTTTTCATTGAATACACTGTTTTATGTTCTTAATGGAGGCTAAATTATTTTGAGTAAAATTAGAATGAGATCTATTTAATGTTAATATTCTAATCTAGCAAGTTATTTTGAAGAATAAGAGGTGATATACCTGGAAAACATCGAATGAGTGCCTTAAAATCCTTTCCATATATACCCTACTATACAAGGAGTCGAACCTTGCCCCTCCCCTCTCAACAATAAAAGAAAATAGAAGCAACTTTTACCTACCTGCTAAACAAGAAAAAAAAATAAAAGAACTAGAAAATAAAAGAGAACAGTACCTCCTAATCAAGTAAGTTTCTGGTATGGTATGTATCATTTCTGCATGAATTTTTTAGAACAGTACCGCCTAATCAAGTAAGTTTCTAGTAAGTTTGGTATGCTTTTGCTATTTGACATTTCACTTGAAGACTTCTGAGCAATTGGTGGTATTTGACTATAATTAAACACATTATTTGATGATAATTTGATTTATATCAATATAGCTTCAACATGGGTGGTCACAGAGTAAGGAATAAGGAACCAGCGTCATGGTCACATGAGAATGAACAAGCTTTTATCAAAATTCTTTACGAGAGAGTGTAATCAAACGCATTGCAATGTTCTATATTCACAAAAGACGAATGGGGCAGGATCAATAAAACCATGATAGCATCAACAAAAATGGATTACGGCATAAATAGATTGAAGGGAAACTAGAACCGCTTGCGTAAGATTCATCGCATGTTCTCTGAACTTTTGGGATATATAGGTGATACATGGGATCCAAATACTAACAACGTTAATGCTACAGAGGAAGTTTGGCAACACTTTTATACGGTACTTTTAATTTCAAAAGAATATTTTCGTCCTTATTTTTTGTCTTATCAATTTTACAATTTTGTTTTTTCCTTTTAATTTGACAATGTGACTTCTTTTTTCAATGTTAGATTAACAAGTCGGATTACAAGTTGTTCAAGAGGGAAGGATGTAAGCACTACCACGCTCTTGGAGAGATCTTTAGCGGGAAACGGGATTGGATTTCCACTCATAAGGAAGGAAGGTTAGTTATCTTTGACAAGGTTGTATTTTTGGTTAACAAAACTACTTTCACTTTACATAACCAAGAAAGCCAACCATAAGTCATCACTACGTGATCGTCCCGATATCATGCTTGGTACTGGCTCTGATCCTGATATGATTTATGCAGTTCTGGTTCTCTAAATCTTATAGTTAGTCAAGGAAATTTCAAGTACCATTGGAGATGTAAAAAAGAGAAGATTTACCATAGCAGAATCGTGGATAGGGAACTATACTAGCAACCTACTCAATTTATTGTAGAAATTTTTGGATCAATTATTAGACCATGCTCTTACCTCACTGTCAAGCTATCCGAACAAGAAAAATGGATACCAACCCGGACTTGCAAGAGAGCTACTACAGCTACTGGAGGATTAGACAGTGCCTCTACTCAGCTTCCAAACACATCAGAGGAAGAATGACAACTAGAAGATGATTTTTTGAATCGGGGAGTGAATATACGTGCAAAAAATGATGATGACGTCGATGTAACGAAATTGGTATATCAGGTGAACGACGACGTAAGGAACCTAAGATCGGTAAAAGTGATAAACTCGAGGCTTGCATGGCACATTGGTCATCTAAAATTAGTTCGAGGAATGAAGAAATTGAACTTAGAACACTTTACTTAAAAGAAAAGCTTGCAAAGATCCAAGGAAAAATCAAGTAATCAATCAAATAGTGAAGTAACTAGTCTGGATCCTTATTCAAATATTATTTGCTTGGACATCTTAAACAATATGGAAGGGGTGTCCAATGAGGTTTATATGAAAGCAATAAAGGCTTTTAAGGATCTCGATTTTAGGGTGTCATTTGTAAAGATGCCAAAAGCAAGGAGAGGACCTATCTTGGAACTACTTTGACGTGACTGTGGTGTTAATTTCTTCAGTATTGTGTTGTTTTAATTTGTGACTACTTTGTGTTGTTTTGAACTATCTTGGAACTACTTTGTATTGTTTAAATTTCTCTAGTATTGTGGTAATGTTGTACTATTTTCATTTACGAACATAGTGATGTTGAACATCGGATAATTGATGTTAATTTTTCTTTAGTTTCTAAATGCTTGATTGCTTATTTTATTCGAAAGAATGGTGGTTGACATGACTTATGATAATTATTTGGTTATATTTTGTTCACAGTATGACCGGTCAATCAAATGTGGATGATAATGTGAGTATCGATGATTCCATTGATGAAGATTCGAGTGATGATGATTTGTTATATATGGATATTTTGACGCAAATTTTGGTGATTTAATGCTTAATTACTTAGTTGCCAACAAAGCAAGTACCATTGGTAGGAGATCTTGTAGAACATCATTACTTACAGGAAAATGTACATTCTAGAAATTATGAATGGACATTCAGACATGTACTATCGTAATTTTCGTATGTAGAAACACGTTTTCATGAATTTTTGTGATATTTTGAAAGAGAAAGGGTTGTTGAAAGATGGGAAAAAAGTGAGTGTCAAGGATGGTGTTGCTATGTTTCTGATGATTGTAGGCACACTGCACGATACAGTGTTGTTATTGGTGATAAGTTTTAGCATTCCAATAACACGATACACAAATGTTTTAAACGAGTTGTAAGGGATGTTTGTTCATTTGGCATTGAGATAATCGTTCGACAAATCAAGACGTTGTGCATGAGCGAATTTTGTGCAAATATCCTCTCTTTAAGGATTGTATAGGAGCAATAGATGGAACACATGTTGCAGCTTGGGCTTCTGCATCAAAACAAACATCTTTTAAAGGAAGGAAAACTAATGTCACAAGAAAATGTGATGTTGACATGCGATTTTGATATGAAATTCACTTTTTCATATGACGACTGGGAAGGTACTGCTAATGATTCATGAGTATTCGTCGACGCAGTTACAAGAAGGTCAAACAACTTTCTAATGCCACGAGGAGGTATATTCTTATACATTAAATAATTATTGCAAATATATTTACAATGTCTCACTATGTAAGCCTTTTTTTTATTTTTCAGATCAATTTTACCTTGTTGATTTTGGATATCCAAACATGCCTAGATTTCTTACCCCTTATCGAGGTCAAAAATATTATCTGCGTGACTATGTTAGACGAGGAAGACTACGTGGGAAGGAAGAATTGTTCAACTATTGACACTCCTCGTGCCGTAACATTATTGAACGTTGCATTGGAGTTTTAAAAGCAAGATTTTCGATTTTGAAGTTGATTACCAATTATCAACTTAGTAGGCAAAGATAAATCCCTACTGCATGTTGTGCAATAAATAACTTCAATCGTCAAGAGCACGCTTTAGATAAGTTATTCATAGAGTATTCAGAGGAGATTATGGTGTTTCAAGACATACCAGAGTCAAGTTAAGATCAAGAAGTCATACATTTTGATGCTAGTCAAACAGCTCAAATGGGACAAGTCAGGAATCAAATTACTACACAAATGTTGAATGACTACTCAATACATCGTACATGATTTCGTGGATATACTTTATATTTTGTTTAGTGTCTACTTGTTTTGCCATGACATGTAAACTTCTAATAGTATCTATTAAACTTTGTTGTCAAATTTAATTTAGGTTGTGTTTTTTATATCTGTCAAAAAATATTTCAAAATTCGCCAACTTCAGAATTTATATGTTATTTAATATTATATAAATATTAAACTATTAAAATTTATTGAATAATCATATTTCTTGAATAAAATATTCTCAAAATTTCAAAGTGAACTCGTTTTTTAGTTTTATGTTTTCAAAAACAGTTTTTCAGAATGACAAAGAGAACACATTTTCAACAATTTCAAAATAGGTACTTAAAACAAAAAACCCAAAATGAATTCAAAACTCAAAACTATAAAACTGAAACACGAAAAGAATAGGTCCTTATTGATAAAGAGAGAAATTGTGAGAAATCTTCTATATCAATGTATCTTTTTTTCCCAATCTAATGCACCATCTCCATATTCCAATCTTCCCCAAAACGTCCAAGAAAATATAAGTAAAAGATGAAGGAAAAAGAAAAAAAGAAAAAGAAAAAATGAAAATGAGACCCCAACCAGCTGCTCCAAAGTCTGGAAGAAGAAGTCCTCCCCCCCCCCTTCTCTCAGTTGAAATCTTGCATTTTATATTAAAACCTAAGGAAAAATTGCAGCTTGTTTCCCTGGAATTTAAAGAAATAAAAATTATATCCCCGAGTGGCGCTTAGGCGCCGAAACAGTGGTCCCTAAACGCCACATTTCTACCCATCAGTGGGCAGAATTTAGGCGCTGTGACACCCATCTTTCTATCCAATTATTTTTTTAATTTTTTTTAAATATTGGTTGCGTCTTCAAGCTTTCCCTTCAATTCTCTTTATATTTTTTTCGTCTTTTCTCACATTAACTCCTTCAAACTATCACTTGGTTTTTACCCACACAATAAAAACAACTAAATCAAGTAATAAATCGCTAATGAAACTCACAAATATCTATGTTTAATGGCCTGAATAAGTGCAAAAACCCGCACTTATCAGAACACATGCATAGTCTCTTGAGATGTCATTAAAAGCAGATGCGTTATACTTAATGGAAACTCTAGAAAATTAGTTATATGCTTGGCAAATTTCTTTATTTTATGTAAGGGACAATATCCGATGCACCCTTAAGTCTCATAACAATGTGAGAAACATCTCCTTATGTTGAAAAATACACTAATCTTCTTTATATGTTGTTTTGAATATTATATTGACCATTTGACTACTTTTATCATGACTAATTTAAAAAGCATTTGTAAACTAAAGATTAATTTTCTATAATTAGCTGTAGTTAATTTAAAATTACATACACATACATAGTGTTTGTTTAATAAAATAGTTATTCATGGAGATAATATCAAATACGCTTTTTAGCTTGATGACAATATCAAATACACACCACACCTTTAAAAAATTATATTAACCTCATTTACTTTTAGTTTTGAGTATAACATTCATCATGTAACCATTTCTTGAGCTATATCTCATATAAATTAAAGTTGATATTCCTAAAAGGCCTTCATGAACTAATGAACAAGCTTTCTACAATTAATTCTAGTTAATATGCTCAAAGATGACAATAGTTCCTTGAATTTCTCAACCATGAGAATAGGAATTTGAATAGAAGATTGCGTTGAAGAGGATGCTGCAGAGTCCTTTTCCAATTGTGGAGATTTTGCTGTTGTAGGAGCTGCTACTTTTATTTAGTAAAAACTTCCAGTTTGGTGGATAAACACGAAATTTGTAGCACTTGGCTAACATCTCCAAGTTCGTTTAGACGAATATTATCTGTAGATTAGATATTCCCTACTCCATTGTCTTCAATAATTGCAGGCAATTTGATAATAAAAAAAAATTTAGGAAACTCTGCTTAGAGCTTAGAATTAAGAAGCATTTCTCCATTCCACACAACTTCCAAGCCATTGGTGAATTCGAGGTCGTCAACAAAATCATCAAATACGTCCTACATGCTCAAGCTTCACTCTTGAGAGGGACACTGAAAACCTAAGAATAGCTAACCGAAAGGAGGGGGGGGTTAATGGGTTATTGAAAAACTTTTTCAAAAATAAGTCTAAATTTAAACAAATTTAACAATAAATAAGTCAATCAAACAAATATGGAAAAATGTGATAGCAATAAGTAAAATGGAAGAGAGTGTGCAAACGATATAATAGTGGAGGTTCGATCCCAACCAATGATAGAAGTCCTCCGTTACCAAGCTCTTTGCCACGAGCAAGACATTTTTCACTATGTTGATTGACTTATGGTGCAATTTAACATTTTACAATGCTCCAGTAACTTACAACCAAGTAGCACCGATTCTTTTACAATATAGAGCTTTACTGAACATCTATATGCCCCACAAATTCAAACAATAATAAGTTTACAATTTGGACATCTCTCTCAATAAATGATATAAACAAAATTAAGTAATAAGAGAGAAATAGGCCGACATTTTAATGATTAGCAATGAATGAAGTTCAAATGTTAGGTAAGAAAACTTCGATGAAAAAGATGATATTCAAAGGTTCATTCAGTCAATCTAAGTTTTTCAAAGTGAATGTTTAAAGAAAAATTCACTAAGAAGTGAACTGAAGGAGTACTACTCAAGATATTTCTTACTTTAATGCGCTCAAAGATGTTGTAATGAATAGAAGAAGTGAGGGTATTAATAGAGTTCAAAACTTCAAAAAAAATCTGTGATTGCGGATGACTCATCCAGTTGACGCCTCTTGTCTGGATGATCAATATAGTCGTTTGTACAGTAAAAATCAGAAGTCAGAATGGTCAAATTTTAGACCATTACATCTTTCATGTTTGATCACCCCTTCGGCCGGTTGACCGGGGTAGCTATCGGTCTTTCGAATTTTGGCCTCCTTTGACTCAATTCAAAGGTTTTGAAAGGGATGGAAGCACCAAAACAATTACCAATAAAATTAGACACACATTTAAAAATCTGATTTTCTTACTCAAGTGTATTCTTTAAGATTAAGAACTAAAACCCATAAAAAAACATATTCATTATTTTTCAAATAATAAGACTAATAATTTTAGCAAACATATAATGCAGTCACATATAGTAAATCAAGAAAATGCCTTTTAATTTGTTGATCACGCCATATTTAATCTATAGGCAAATTACCAACACGACTTTAATTTGTTGAAAAATTGGGTGATCTTGTGTGTAGATAAAATATTAATTAACATAACTATTTTAAACATAAACATATAAGTAATATAATTTAATAATAATACAAACATAAGATAAGGGTTAGAAAAAGTAAACTTTAGAGAGTCACGTCGAAGACGCTGTCCTAAAGCCGTGTTGCTTCCCTTTCATGCGGGTTCTTTTGGCACTACACGGCTCCAAGATAAAATCCATGTGGTTCTCCTTCTATGGGCACGACCATAGGGAGATAAGTGAACGAACGTTTATCGAATTGCCAAAAGCGTATGATTATTCAAGTGGTTAAAGAAATATGTGCAACAATGAAATACAATCACCTTTTATAGTTAAAAATTCAACCCCCTCATTTATACCATTAAAGCACAAGTTACAATATGTATTATGGTCTTTAACTTTATGTTGAAACTAAAAATTAAAAGGTTTTTAATTTGAAAGGTTGAAAATTTTATTCTTAAATTACAACCTAAATTATGAGATTTGATTTTATATTAAAAATTAATATTAGAATCGAAATTAAAAATTCATATTTATTGTGAAAGTTTAAAACTTTTTAAAAATGTTCTAACGGATATTAGCAGTTAATTCTCGATGATCCTGTCCTATTTTAGATTTTGACATCAGACGCTCATAAACAATAGAAACTACAATCCTTCATTGCCTCTGAGAACTTTGTCAACGAGGTGGTGGAATGTACCCTTGTCACCTCGGTAATAGACGGAAGAGAGGCGACGTGTTCCTATTTGGGTGCAGTTTCTTGAGATTGCTTGAACAATATTTTGCTTAGTTGACAACTGCATGACTTGTCAAGCAGATAGAGACGTCATTTTTTTAGTGAGATATTATTATGAATAAGGCAAAAACAGTACTTATAAATGGGAAACTTCATCAAAAATAATATGAACCGCGGGAAAGTGAAGTGGCGAATGTCCGAATAGATATCGTTGAATCCCCAACGATTTAAGTTTCATGGTAATTTACTTGAGTGAAAAGGAGCATGAACCTTAGAATATTTTTTCGTTGACTTGTCGTTACAGTTCATAATTTCTTAATTCCCAAATCCCAACGTATGTTGCATCACATTGCTTGATTAGGTTACAAATCAAACAGAGAAAAGGGGGAAGGAATTGAACGAAAAGGGACAAAAACCAAATAAATGAAAAAATAAAAAAAAATGTCGAATTCGTCAATTCATCATTGCAATTAATAATTCGTGTAAAAAGACCAAGGTCTAGTCAATATTTTTAATGCAATAAATCCCTAAACCTAATATTATAATTTTTTAGTCACAATGAACCGTGGACTTCATTATCGTCAATTCAAATTTTATTTTCTTCAATCGCTCATTTTATTTGATCTACAAATTTTATCAAAATTTTAACTACATATTTCACGAGTTTCACCAACTCGTAATCTCAAAAAAGTTTGTCAAACAGGAGTTTATATCTCCAACAAGAACTAGTATAGTTGAGAAGCATCGAGGATGCAATTAATTTCTTTTAATAAATAGATAGATGTTTCTTGCTACTCTAATGAAGATGAGGATCATACGTTACTACAAAGTAGTCGATGCAAAAATATAGGATACAACAGATCCATTGAAAATAATTTATTAGCAAGAATTGACAAAATGTTGCATGCCAACTCAAAAGGCGTCCTACTCTATATGATCAATAACAGTACATCAATGCACAAGCATATTAGACGAGATTTAGTGTGTGCGTGCGCGTGTGTACACACACACAGTTTTTTTAATAACTTGTGCTTTTAAATTTAATAATTCATCATAGTACCATAACATGTAAATGTCACGTGTT